CATAAACATTGGGCTCGTAAATGCCTTGCTGCGTGTTCATGACAAGGAAAAGGCATATCGTTGATTTCTCAGAAACATTGAATACATTGTCACAGTCTGGACAACACAATCTCCGAAAGTCGAAATGGCCACGCACCAATCTTCATGTGGTACAGTTTAAACTTAAAATTAGGTTGCACGGGACTTCAGAAAGAAGTTAACAAGTGTTTGATGAATGCTGGGTACTTGAGAGATGGTCTTAAAAATGTAGGAATTTGTGTTATGCGTAATGAATCGAATATTTTGGTTGTTTTCAAGTGTCCTCTAGACCTTGAGTTCAAATATCATTGGCAACTTTCCATTGAAGGTAAAATGGCCCATGCTGTTGTGATGCCTCATGTGATAGTTAAAATGTTGGATGATTTTTTGAGTGATCTTGCTCGAAAAAAAGAAATTTGGTATGGATCTGGAGAAGCTCAACGGCTTTGTCTTGCAGATTATATTGGGCTTTCGAATTGTGCTTGCTCGGTTCATGAGAATGGGCACTCAAGCGGAAATTAAATAAAAGTAAACATATATACAGTGGCGTATCCAATGTGGTCCTAGGGTGTGCAACTGCACACCCTTGATTTTGAAAAAAAAATATTCCCTATATATTTATCTATTATATAACTGTAAATGTATTTTTTTCTGCAGAGATGTTGTAGCTTAACTGGTAAAGGTCTCCCTACAAATTCAAAGAGGTGCAGAGTTCGAGACTTTGATGAGCCCCTCTTTCCTTTCAATATTTTAAAGTTTTCTTTTTTTTTTTTTTTTTTCTAATACCTATTTGCAACTTTAATATATTTATCATTCCTTTAATATTTTATATAATCTAAATTATTCCAAAATTCTTAATTTTATATATATATGCTTGTTTTTTTTTTTTTCTAATACATATAATATTTCAATTGTTTTCAAAATTTTTGAATCTGTGGGTATTTTTGAAAATTTCAAAAAATCAAAATCTCCTAATATATAATATTTCAATTGTTTTCAAAATTTTTGAATATGTGGGTATTTTTTAATATTCAAAATCTCCTAATAAAACATATATTTTGCTATTTGCAACTTTAATTTATTTACCATTCCTTCAATATTTTACATAATCTAAATTATTCCAAAATTCTTAATTTTTTTTATATATGCATTATTACAATTGTTTTCTAAATTTACAACTATGTGTGTGTTTTTTTTTTATATTTTAAAAATTCAATCTGCTAATGAAATACACATTTTGTCACTTGCAACTTTAATGTTCTTACCACTCCTCAAATAGTTTCACCAATTTTATGTCTAAATATTTCCTAAATTAGCCCAAAATTTGTAAAATAATCCCTTTAAATTTGAAAATATTACATATTTTTATTATTTAATGTGTATAGTATTAAAAAAAAAAATCGGGGGCGCTCCCCGTAAACTTTTACCTTTTTTACTATATTTAATTCCGAACACCCTTGGCAAAAATCCTAGATTCGCCACTGCATATATACCCCTTTGGTGTGTATATTTTATGATTTAGTTAAAGCTTGAAAAAAGGGTGATTGGTATGTAGTTTTATCGAACTCCCAAAATTTAAATTCACCCTATAACACCACCACCCTTAGAACAATCATTGTTGTCATTAACTTTTTTTTACGTTATTCTTTTTTACTGTGTATTTGGCCCCAACAGTAAAATTATGGTTTCGTCATTTTTTGTGCAACAACTACCTTCTTTTCTTTTTGGGCACTTTACAAATAAGCCCATCAATGGGTATTTATTCATAAAGGGGTCCAGAAAATAATTTTTTAAACAAAAAAGTCCACACATCGTCAAGAGGTTTGTAAAAGACTAAAATAGCCCCTCACATTTTAATATGCTGCAATTTCATCATTTAATTTAATCTAACATCAATCTGACCCAAAATTTCACAAATTATTCAATTTTGACCCAAAACACAATTTTATGGACAATTTCGTCCGTCGCCGCCGTTGACTTTTTTTTCCTGATTTTTCCGCCGGTCTCCGGCGTTGACTTTTTCGATTTTTTTTATCTATTCTTTTTGTTCCTGATTTTTCCACCACCGATTTCCGGCGTTGACTTTTTCGGATTTTTTTTTCTTTAACATCTTTTTCGCCTAACGGTTTAAATAACAATATTGCTGTGGTTGACAGTAATATTAACAATATTACAGTTAAACACAATAAAATTAACTGTACTAGTTTAACACAGTAATATTACAGTATTAATCTCTAGCACAGTAATATTAACACAACAAAACTCATTATTATTGTGTAATAGAGTAATATTAATATGTTGACCGTTCAATAAAGGTAAACATAATAAAAAGCCAAAAAAATTGTGTTTACAGTAATATTACAAAAATAGACAGCGATATTATAACGTTACTCCGTCAGCAACTCAAACAAAAAACCCAAAAAATTAATAATATTGATGTGGTTGACAGTAATATTATTGTGTCAACAGTTATTTTACTGTCAACGACAGTAACATAACCAAAAAATAAAATAATATTGTCGATGACTCTAATTGTACTGTCAACGACAGTACACTTACATAAATGTATTGTGAACGGCAGTACAATTACGTTAATGTACTGTAACTGACAATATAATTATTGATAATGACATCACAATTACGGTCAACGTTTAGCGGCGGGTGTAAAAAAAAAAAAAAAAAAAAAAAAAAAAAAGTCAATGCCGGAAACCCGCGGCAAAAAAAATTTCTGAAATTTTTTTTTCAAAAAAAAGTCAAAATTGAATTTTTGTGGTCAAAATTGATTAAATTAGGGTTACAATTAAGAATTGAGTGTAAAGGATTGGGGGTAATTTTATCACATACATTAAGCCTTTACTTATAACACATATGGATAATCTCAAAAAGGTCCATGACAAGGGCACTTGATTAAAAGAGGGATATCCAACTTTTTTGTCTTTCAAATAAATCCAGCTCATTCAAACTTATTTGAAAATAAGGAAAATCCTTTTATATATACCAAAATTACCCTCAATTCATTGAAACACAATTCAACTTCAATTTCATGATTTACACTCCAATTTAGCCAAATTTCACCAATTAACCAATTTTAACCATAATTTCAATTTTGATTGACCCCAATTTTGACCCGCCACCACCGGCGACCGCCGGTCTCCGGCGTTGACCTTTTCTTTTTCTTTTTTTTTTTGAAAACTTTTTTTTTCTGAAATTTTTTTCCGGTAGGTCAACCGCCGTTGACCGCCGGGTCTCCGGCGCACAATTTTTTTATTTATTTTTATTTTTTCTTAAAAAAAAATATTTTAATTAATATAACTGTCTTGGCTGCTAAATTACTGTATGCATCAGTTATTTAACTGTCGGAGACAGTAATTTAACTGTTAATTGATTTTTTTTTCTTATTTTTTTTTAATTAATGTTACTGTCTTGGCTGCTAAATAACTGTCTCCAGCAGTTATTTAACTGTCGGCGACGGTAATTTAATTGTTAATTGAATTTATTTTTCTTATTAAAAATATTTTTATTAATATTACTGTCTTGGCTGCTAAATTACTGTCTCCAGCAGTTATTTAAGTGTCGGAGACAGTAATTTAACTGTTAATTGACTTTCTTTATTTTTTTTCTTAAAAAAATATGTTAATTAATATTACTTTCTTCGTTGCTAAATTACTGTCTCCGGCAGTTATTTAACTGTCGGAGACAGTAATTTAACGGTTAATTAACTTTTTTTTTTTTTGAATTTTTTTTTAAATTATTTTAATTAATATTACTGTCTTTGCTGCTAAATTACTGTCTCGGACAGTAATATTACTGTCAATGACAGTAATATTACTGTTCGGAAATATAATATTCATTATATTATTGTCCCAAACAGTAATATTACTGTCTGAGGCAGTAATTTAGCAGCCAAGACAGTATTTTTTTCTAAGAAAAGACAAAATTAAGAAAGAAAAAAAAAGTCAACAGCGGTTGACCGGCCGGAAAAAAAATTTAGAAATAAAAAAGTTAAAAAAAAAAAAATTAACGCCCGAGACCGGCGGTCAACGCCGGAATCTGACCGGAAAAAAAATTATTTTCTGAAAAAAAAAAAATATTTTTTCAAAAAATTATTATTTTGGGGGTTAATGTGATATATTTGTTTCAATCCTGGGTCAATTTGTAATATTAAGAAAATTAGAGCATAATAGATGAAATTGATAAGAATTATATTATGGATGGTATATTAGACTATTGACATGGGGGTGGGTTTATTTGAAAGACTGTTTTTTTTGTGGACCAATGTGCATTTAAGTCTTTTGTGATGGGTTTTTTTCACATTCGCCCTAACACATATTAAAGTGATGGGCTTATTATTGACAAAAGAGACATAACCCTAAACCTAAAAAAATAAAGATGATTGATCAGGGACTTAAGCACAAAAACCCCTCTATTTTTCTTTTTTCTCCTTCCATTGCTTTTGCCGTTTTTTGCCTCTTCATAGGTATTATCTTATTTATTTTGTTGATCTCAAGACTAGTAGCATATTCAATATGCACATGCATCCAACATCAATCAATTTTAGGAGCTGGGATTTACTAATTGAATTGCTACATGAAATTCATGGCTTCATTTTCACTAACAGGGTATTGGAAATTAATTAGTGGCACATGAATTGTATTGTTAAATCAACCGGATAGGGAAAAACAATTTCCATTTAATGATTATATTCGTTTCATAATATCTGTCACCTTAAAGATTTTTTTTTTTTTTTTTTTTTTTGCAAACTTTGAAATTCCGGTATTGTAATCAATTCACTTTTTGTTGTAATATGTAATTAGTCGACAAAAGTAAATTTTAATTTTTCTTCTTCTTTTTCCCTTCTTTCTAAGATTTATAATACTTGCGCAAATGTGAAAAACGATACATGTTATAAACTTTAGAAAGTATATCTTGTATATAATATATGTGTACAGATCCATACATATTATACGCGTCAATAAAATATATCAGATCAAATTGGGCCCATAAAATTTAAAAATAAATGATAAAAACCATTTACATCAAAAGAAAGTCATAATTACAATACTTAAAGAAATAATACATAAGGAGCAAAACAAACAAACTACGATAAATAGATAACCACACATTACATTACATTATTATGATTATAATATAAAATAAAATAAAATGAAATTCAAATAGATAACCAAAAGAAAACAAAAGAAGAAAAGGACTGGCAACCTAACAGCAATACCAAACCAATCAGTTCTGTCCACCAAACTGTGAAAATACTTTATTGCCCTTCATATCTCCACCTGTCCAAAGATTAAATAAATAAGCTATCCTTTTTTGTCCAATTATAGGTTGTAAATTAGTATTTAGGAAAATAAAATCATTTCCATTTAAAGTAAAAAAAAAAAGGGATTTTTATGCAAAAGTCCCCAACCAAGCATGTTTATTATTCTAGGTTTAGGGGACATATCTCTTTTACCAATAAGCCCATCCCTTTAATATTTATTATAACTAAAGGAAACATTCATGTATATCCCAATATTACCCTCAACCATTTATACCCAATTCTTAC